AAGGGTGGCGGGGCATTCTAGAGTCGGAGGCAAAATTAACAAGAAAAGGGTCGCCAAAGTTTTGGTGACTTTCAAAGCTGTTGTGTGTGTTAGACAATGTCCAAGTCCAATATTATACCAACTGCAGAAGCTCAGAAAGAACGAAGGGAGGCAATACAGACTGTTTAAAGTAAGCTCCAGAGTGCCACAAGGATATGCGTTTTATCTCCCCTCCTTTTTATAATATTATTATTATTATACAGACACAATAACGCAAGTCGCAAACCAAAGCCCAGAAAGCTTAAATGAACTTCTGTTAGCAGACGACCAATGTTTTATTCACTCAGACCAACAAAGCCCCCAAAATCACACTACCAAACTGAACAACAGCTGCGAGAAAGTTGAAATGAAAATAAGCACATCAAAAACGGAAGCTATGAAAGTGAGCCAAGTCCATGGTCCCTTGAATATCTATGTCAATAGTAAATAACTGAAACAGGTGAAGGAGTTTAGATATTTCAGCACTTTTGTCTGAAAACAGGTCGATATTTGGGTTTTTTTTTGGGGGGGTGGGGTTGTTTTTTTGTTTTTATTTATTTAGATTCATTTTTTTATTTATTTATTTTTTAAATATATTTTTTAAAATTTATTTATTTATTTATTTATTTATTTATTTATTTTTATTTTTATTTATTTTTTTTTATTTTTTTTTTGGGGGGGGGGGGGTGTTTTAAGGCCCTTGCACCTGCATGAGATCATATGAGTGCGCGGGACACATTAAATTTTTCAGTTGGTAGGAAATTTTGAATTTTGTACGGTGACGGCCGAAGCCTACTCTTATCGATTTTGGACCACCAAGGGATCTTTAACGTGTGAAACTTGCACTCGGGAACGCTGAGATTTTTTGCCTTTGTCCGTACTCCTTGGCTCCTTCTTACTGCTATCTTTCAACCACACCCCAGATCTCATTAAAGGTAAGTTCTACATCTAGCCTTCTTGGATAAGAGCGGAAAATCTCGGGAGTTCCCGTGTAGCTGCAGAAAGGCTGCAGAACGTGCCAGGAGCCCAGAGGAGGGGATGAGGGGGGGGGGCAGAAAGTGGAGACGAAAGCAGACGACAAAACATTGTTAGAGAGAAGGAAGTGGTACGAAAGGAGAAAATTGTAAAGAAAAAAGTTTTCCGTCGCTATCGGGATTCTAACTCGAGACTTATTAAACGAACCTTAACCTCCAGACCACGACAGCCCCACAGGTCCATACATAGACAGAGAAACAGAAATGTTAACTAAAAAAGCCATCACCATCACCTACCAGCTCGCACCCCTGCTATCTCATCCAAACATCTCCTTGGACACAAAAAGACTACTTATTACATCAATATTTCATATATACCGACGTTATACTCCAAAAAAAAAATATATAATTAAAATATCTCTGAGTGCGAGATGAAATGTCTCCGGAAAACCCTTAACATCGCAAGAAAAGACAGGAAGAGAAAAGAAGAAGTAAGAGCGACTGTTGGCTCTGAGTCCTGCCTGCATTTCATAGAAAAACAGAGAATATTTAAGGGTTTGGCCACCTGTCACGAATGTCACCTAGATAACCAGCCTCTAGAGCCTATAACACAAAGCACTCAGGCTTAAAAGGCAGTGGTAGACCACGCAAATGCAGAGTTGGCCTACCATAGAAAACTGCTTCTCCCCTCGATGCTTTACGGCAACAGAGGATGGAAAAGTAAAGGTAGGTATTATGGAACTAAAGAATGTTGAGCTCAAAACATTTTTTTTAAAATTGATAGAAATAGCCTACGGGCGGGAAAATGTTGATTTCTTCGATTTCAGTATATTTACGAGAGCCTAATTGTACCACGATGCCTCAGATTGTAACTACTATACTATTACTATGCTCTTGCTTCCACCAGGGGCGCTGTTCTCCAGCCTGTCCACACTGGACGCCATAGCCAGCCTGGTGTCTTCCACACTCTACACGCTCATCTACAACGCCACCGTCGACTCATTTAGGGGATCTGTGTTCATGCTAATGGCCGCTCTCTGCTTCTTAGACGGCTGCATACTTTTGTAAGTCCTTGGTGCTTGGCGAGCACTTCTGTATTATTTTATATTGAGTTATTAATAGCTACCGCAGTTCCACGGCGCTTACGTGCCAAAACTGTGTCAACGATGCTGTAAATACAAATCCAACTCAACTTTTCTTAACTTAATTTTTCCAACAGAATGCGTTGTTGTTGTTGTTGTTGTTGTTGTTGTTGTTGTTGTTGTTGTTGTTGTTGTTGTTGTTGTTTTGTTGCTGTTGTTGCTTTTTTGTTGTTGCTGTTGTTGTTTTTGTTGTTCATATTGTTCTTGTGTATATTGCTGTTATTTTGTGTGTGTGTGTGTTGTTTTGGGGTTGTGGGTTTTTGTGGGGGTTGGGGGGGGGGGGGTTGACAATTTTTGTAGACGATCAACATACAAATAAGTTAATTGTTTGTCTCTGCAGGGCATTCCGTATGGTGCGCAGATCTGACACATCGTCCACTGAGTACGAAGTGAGACCAGGAGGGGAAGAGGAGGAGAAAGTGGGGACTGCCCAAGTCAGCGCCAATGAAACAACGCCTTTGTTGAAAGCAGACTGATGTTCCGGTGTGTTAGAAGAGGATATTATTTATAAACGGATTGCATTTTGAATATACTTGCATTGAATGGACTCTTTAAAAAAACTGCAAGTTCCGTCCCATAGATCTCATTTCAACGAGAAAAGTGTGTAAGTCACGTTGTCTGAAAGTTCATTTAAATGAATAGAACATATTCGTTGCTATGAGTGGTTAAAGATCCTGTGATGGTTGCAGTTATATTTAAAACTGCAGATGTTTTATGTCCCTATTAAGACAATATAGTTCAGAAAGTCGGCGGGCTGCTTCAGCCCAGCTCATCCCGGTAGACGGAGAGTAGGATAAAAAATAAAATCTCCCCGCACGGGAAAGGAACACACGTCTTCTGCCACCACAAGTGGCATGAACAATGATGACTATAATAAGTCCGTGTATTACTGGTAATAGCGTGAACAGTCGAGGTGTTCTGGAACGGTCTGCTCGACCTTCTATTTCTGTTCTTGTTTCTGTCATCATGCGTTTACTTAAAGAAATCAACAATATTGTACTCTACAAAATGGCACTCTTTTACTGTTTATATTTTAAAAAGTGTCCTTGCAAATGCTTGCATAGTTTGACAATTTTGTCGGATCTACATATTCGAGAATGCATTTTTTATTATTCAGATGTCGTCAGCATCATTTTACCATTGCTCACATTTCTGGAGGTTTCCAGATGTAATCCAATGCCTTATTCGAAAAGAAATACTATACCGCGGGGCATTTATATTTACAACATAGTTTCGTTTCGTTTCGTATTTCCTCCTTAGTTTTAAAAATCCCAGAAGATGCTCAAGTCATGGTACTGATTGGGGCTGACTTATTATCTTTAATTTTCTCAAAACTTCAGAAAATGACGTAGGCGTTTGTGAAATGACTCTGGCGATACTCTTATGTCGAGAGTTCCCATGATGTCACGCTATAGCAGTGAGGGTGATTTCACCAAAAGACATGATTGTCGACTTTTTGCCAACGCTTGCTGTCTTTTCTTTAAACAAAACGCCCAGAGATCTCGCAACACATCGTTGTATATCGACAATACGTGTTTCGTATTTGTTTTGTTTTTTTCTTTCGTTTCTCTAACCTGTTTGCCCTTCTCTTCAATCCTCAAACTTTTTATTCCACACTTCATGTTTTCCTAGCATTCTTCTTCCTTAATTCCCCCCCCCCCCCTCCCCCCAAAAAACTGCCTCGATTCCTCTGTACCATTTTGACTCTATTCTTCATTTCTCTAAACTTTTACGCTTCCCTCATTATGTCGAGGGGGATGTTAGACAAACTGCATTAAAACTACATGTAGTTTTAAAAACTCACCTCTTCATTTCTCTAACGTTTTCTTCGTTTTCTTTTCTCATTTATTAGTTACCCCATTCATTTTACTAACCTTTTTTTTATTCCTCATTCATTTGTACACGTATGTTTGCTAACCCCCCCCCCCCCCCCTTTTTTTATAAATTAGATTTCTCAACTTTTAACATATATTGTTCTCCTTCATCTCTCAAAATTTTAAAGACCGACTCCTTTTTTTTGGCGTCTTTTATTATTTTTTTCTTAACTCACCCCTTCATTTCTCCAACCTTTTACTCTCTCTACTGGGCCAGTGTTTTGCCTTCAGGGAAAAAGCTACAATGTATATATTATGTGTCTGAAGGTCCGTCCTAACGTAAAGCCATATTACTCACATGCACTTTTAAAAAGATATTAATATCGGAGACATTTCTTAACGCTGAACGAGAGTGGCTATATGTGGATGAGTGGAGTTTGTGAGTGTGTGTGTGTGTATGTGTGTGTGTGTGTGTGTGTGTGTGTGTGAGTGTGTGTGTGTGTGAGAGAGAGAGAGAGAGAGAGAGAGAGAGAGAGAGAGAGAGAGAGAGAGTAAACATGTTTGTGTCTATGTGCTTATTTTCATGGTCGTTCATTTGTGTGGGGAAAGTTTTGCCAGTTCTTGTGGACAATTGAAACACAAGTTCATCTACTTGTAACGGTTGTCTAAAACAAAGAAGAAAAGAAAACTCATTTAAAGGGCAATAACTAGGCCATCTTTGGTCCAATTTTAAAGAAACTTTGAGGAAATAAATTTCAACCAGGAGGATATTACTTTGGTCAATAAGAAAACAAAACCAAAAACCATGTTCGAAAAATATCAAGTTTTAAAAATTTCGAGCAAAATTGAGTACAACGCAAAATTTATGCAACCTTTGAAAAAAAATGAACCACACTGTTCCATTTCAAATAGTCACTATCTGCGCATTGAAGAAACTTATACAAACAGTAGCTAAATATAGTCTCGGAGGCAATGCCTATTTAAATCTCCAGGTGTTGACCATTTCGCTCCTTACAAGCTTTAATTTAAGCCAAACGGAAATTTTGAATGACACTGTGGCATGTTTTTGGAGTCGATTCTTTGGACGCCCTGTTCAACATTGAGTTTCAACTGTTCAATCGTGTGTGGCTTGTTTCCGTAGACTCTGTCAGTCAAACCACAAAAATAATAACTGAAAGGGCTCAGGTTTGGGGGAATGTAGTGACTATTCATTTGTAAACTTCTGGCTTCAAGGTTTTCCCTCAAACCTTTTTCTTACAACCACACAAGGGCCTCTCTAGACATTTGGGGTATGGCCACATCCCACTGGAACCAGGCCTTTACAATATTACACCTTCTCGTCACAAATTTCTCCACGACTTTCTCAGCACGGTGCCGGTGAGATACCCATCTTATATGACTGTCGTTGGTTCACCGTATTAAATATTGTCCCGAGAGCAGAACGTGTCGACCACGCACCTGTACCTGAACGCT